TCGGAGTGTTCCTTTTTCCGAGTCATTTGGTTCATTCAACGAACGAATCGACTCAAGCTTATAAAACTTAAACTTTGTTTTTATTTTTAATTAAATGAGTGATCGTTTCGCTTGATTAGACCCTTATTAATTGTCTGGAATCGTTTAAAGCCATTTGAACAGTTTGCAATTTGCACTGAAAGTGTCTTTTCGACCTTGAACCGTTTGGTTCCCAATGAAGTTCATTATATGGAGAAAAATCCTGGAATGTTTTCATCAAAAACCTTAATTTCTTTTCGACTGAAGAAAGAAAGACACGGACATCTTGGATGAGATGGGGGTGAGTAAATTATCAGCAAAAGTTTTTCGAAAAGTGAACTACCCCTTTAAGTTTAGACGATAACAGCATTTTGGCTTCGTCATGGTTAAATGGAGGGGAAAATAATAATCCAGAAGGAAAAAGCGGACAATACTGATTATAAAGATACAAACAGTTGCGGTTTTATGTGTATGAGAGTTTGGCACCGATCTGCATCAGACGCGGTAATGGCTGTTTATGTGTGTTTATGAACACAAATGAGTCAAGAAGGATGGAGAAATGGTGAGAAAAACAGAAATGTTACAGCATCTGAAAGCGTCAGTGCCAGAGATTTCCCTGCTTCCTTCTCTCCTTTCTAGGATAGGTCTGTCTGCCTATTTATGGTCGATGGCTCATTCAAGCTACAAAGCTTTAGAGGAATTTAGGAGGCTGTTCTGGAGATCTAAAAGCTTTCCTGCACACAGTAGTTACCCGTATCCTCAACACACCAACCAAATGTACTGTAAACAAGCAGAACCCCGTCATAAATCTGCTTGACGTTCTCACAACTCCGATTAGAACGGACAACACAACCCTCAAGCAACTTTAATGCCTTGTAAATGTAACTATATAAAGATCATAGAGTCTGGAATGCAAATCTACGTCTGGGAACCACTTCAGGATGAATGTCTGAGTGCAGTTCAGTTTCCTTTAACTCCTGGATGCGTGTGTGATCATTATTTTAAAGATCGGTGCCATGCGTTTGATTTAAATGTCAGAGCTGATATGAAATACGGAGTGATTCACAGTTTTCTTCACAAATGTATGGCCATGAAAAGCATCTCTGGCAGGTAATAGCAAAGTGTTGGGTATACTTGAGCTTGGTGTGAGGCATATAAAACGTCACAGACAGTGGTGCTGGAGATGTACGATATGTAGTGTAGTGTGTGTGTGTGAAGGTACCAGGGGAGATTTCACTGAGCCTCAGATGCACTGTGTGACCATGTTTGGTAAAAGCCATCCACACACACACAGTTTCTCTGAGCCAAGCCATTGACCATGAGTACATGCAGTAGAGCTGGATTCAATCAGAGACTACAGACTCAAAGATCTCTCTTTCTCCCGCTTTAGTATTCTCGGGCATCCTCGTTGGCTTTCTTTACTTTACTCATAAGCTCTGAACTGAGGAAGAACTATGTCATTCATCAACAGGAAGAGCTGACGGACAGACACACATAGATAGAACGACCGATCACTTTGTTCTACTTCTTAAACATGTCCATTTTGCCACCGAATCTGGATAAAACGTCAATTAGCATCAAGAATTAGCAAACAACTGCCAAGGGTCTTGCCAACAGAAAAGTGCTCTGAATGTGCAAACAGACAGCTAAATGATCAAAACAGTCACTTCATATATCAGATATCTACTTAAACAAACATTAGACAGATATTCAGCAGATTAATGAACACATCAAAACATGTCATGATAAAAATGTTGCAAAAAGAGAGTAAAGGGAGGAAAATGTGTAAAGCGCTAGCAATGGGGATGAATCATTTGGCCCACTACTAAATCTAAAATATTTCATTCAAAAAATCATTCTACTATTAAAGTAAATGTGTACAAGGAACTATAAACCTTGTGCATTTATGTTCATCGAGGTAAAACAGCAATATTTTGAAATATTATTACAATTTAAAAGTGTTTTCAATGCGACTATATTTTAAAATGTTGATTAAAATTACATTCAATTAAAACAATGTTTGAGGAATTCTTTGATCACTAGAATTTTGAACCAGCATTTATTTTGAAATAGAAATCTTTTGCAACATTTAAAACTAAAACTGTATTCTGGACAAATGTGGGCAAAATAGTTTTGATTTATTTTTAAAAAAATACTTCCCTTGATCTGAGCGGTACAAGACTTTGCTACTTTTCCTAAGTTTGCCTCCTGAACACACACAATTTTTTTTTGACTCAATTCTACAATGTTAAGTGGGTGAAAAAAAAAAAAAAAACTCTGCAAAAAAAGGGCACCCATAGAAATGAATGGGAAAAACTGTAATTTAGAGCGTTCTAAAGTAAGCCAAAATAAGACACCAGGTGACAGCAAAGTCACTTCATCTTTAGGTTTTAGCTCTAAGAACTTATTGATATTGATATGATGATATTTTAATGTAGATAAAAAAAATAAAAAATAAAACATAAAAATAAGCATAATTTACTTAGAAAATATGATACTTTTTCCACAATTACAGGATTAAGGGCTATAAAGTGAATACGGTTTGAGGGCTACAATGTTTGATGCATTCTTTGATGAATAGAATTATGAACCAGCATTTATTTTGGAATAAAAATCTTTTGCAATATTTAAAATGCCTTTACGGTCACTTTTTATCAAAAGAACGAGTCCTTGCAGAATAAAAGCATAAAAACTGCGAGAAAAAAAAAACGACCTCAAACTTTTCAACAGTAGTAAATAGAAATGCAAAACAAGTTATAAAACGACACCTCAGGACGGCTTTTTATAATCTCAAATTTATTAATGAACAAATCTGTCACTTCTGAAGTTTTGACTGCTACTTGGACAATATTATTAGTGGTCATAAATGTCGTCCATCAGTTTCAAAGTGTGCTGACACCGGGGTTTGAGGCCTCGGTTTGTTGTCCATCTTCACATTCAAATTTCCAGAGACAATTAGATCCACAGCACAGTAATGTGTTAAAAAAAAAAAAAAAAAGATAAAATCAATCAAATCAAAACTTCTATATGTATCCAACAGTTCTGTGCTCATTTTAGTATTCTTATAATCACATCTTATAAGCAACTTATATTTCAAGACTGAAGGTAAATACAAATACATTGATTTTTCAATACTGGCATTGGACTAGTCACCAAATTGCACATAGTTAATGATTCCATTGAATATACCAGGTTGTCTGTACAAAAGGCCGAAAGCATTAGAGGGAAAAAGGCCCGTCCAAACATCTGGACAGGTAGAGAAGTCTGTCTAGATTATTGCTCCTTATAGAGCGCAACAGTCCGGTCCCGGAAGTGAAACCTCAATTCATTTTTCCCATAAGGAAATCAATTTTGAATGAGAACTTGTAAACCTTTAAAAACACTGTTAAAGGAGTAGTTCACTTTTAAAAAAACTTTTGCTGATAATTTACTCACCCCCATGTCATCCAAGATGTCCATGTCTTTCTTTCTTCAGTCGAAAAGAAATTAAGGTTTTCGATGAAACCATTCCTGGATTTTCTCCATATAATGGACTTCAATGGGAACCAAACGGTTCAAGGTCCAAATGACAGTTTCAGTGCAGCTTCAAAGGGCTTTAAATGACACCAGACGATGAATAAGGGTCTTATTTAGCGAAACGATCGGTCATTTCAAAAATAAATACAAGAGTCTAAGTTTTATAAGCACAAATGTTCACCTTGCTCTGTTCTGTGATGCGCGTTCGTGACTCTCCTGTTCAAACCCGTTCATCAAAATGAACAAATCTTTTTTCGAGTCATGACTCGAAGGGTCCTGATAAGACCTTTATTCATCGTCTAGTGTCGTTTAAAGGCCTTTGAAGCTGCACTGACACTCACATTTGGACCTTGAACCATTTGGTTCCCATTGAAGTCAATTATATAGAGAAAATCCTGGAATGTTTTCATCAAAAAGCATAATTTCTTTTCGATTGAAAAAAGAAAGACATGGATATCTTGGATGACATGGGGGTGAGTAAATTATCAGCAACATTTTTTTTAAAAGAGAACTACTCCTTTAATCCATGATATTTTGCTTCTCCTGAAACAGCCAACCTGCATCATTTCAGCTTTGTTTTAAAATCATTGGTTAACAGTGGAATTTTGTGGTGGAAAGACTACATTACCCATGATGCCGTGCAGAAAATTCCACCAATCAGAGTCGAAACAAGCAAAACGCACCACAAGATCTTAAATGCGAATGACAATCTCTCTACTCTCTGAAATCTTTGTGTATGCTTTACAATAAACATATAATCAACATTTGTAAATGAGTAGTTTTATATTTCTCTCTTTTGTAATTTGAAAATGCTGTTCATGCTTTATAGCTCTTTCCAAAAGTCTTTTCAAAAAGTCTTGGTTGGTTTGGCTGATGGCTAATAACTCTTTAACAAAGACTATTTTAAAATCCCTATGGGAAAAATGAATGAAAAAACCCAACGCATTCTCATACTGACGCCTTCGCAAATGCGTATACATCCAACGCACACGGCACCCTTTAGCGTCAATATGAGACGCACAGAGTATGGGTAGGTTTAGGTCTGGGGTAGGGTTAGGGTTAGACCACTAGGAGGCGCCTTCTGCCCCATATATCTGCGTCTCATACTGACGCTAAAGGGTGCCGTTTGATGTATTGTCAGTATATGACGCCTTTGGATGAAAACGGGCTACTTCCAGAACCAGCGCCGCTGCACTCTATTGATAATCAAAAACATATGAGTCTCCTTCCTCCAATATAAAAAAAGTCTAAATAAATCCACAATTTGCCTGCCTATACGATTTATTTGATGGCGACTGCTTGTTTTTAAAATCATGCGAGCTTGAAACACTGACAAATAATTCGGGGCTCCATGTGATCATGAAAAACAGTTGTTGTCCCGGTTAAGATACCGTCAATCTGGACCAAACGAAAGCAGGCATGCAGCATGGGTTATAAAACAGGTCTTTGTAAACAATAATGTGCCGTTTGATATGAGGGATCCAGTCTACTTTTTTTTTTTTCACATTCTCCCACCCTTTGAATTAGCCACTATGATGCAAGAGGCTAAGCTAAAGCGAGGCTAGGCGCAGGTTACGACTGCTTCATGCTAGCACAGTCCCATCTATGCTCTTATTTCATACACTGGACAGCAACAGGCACGTTTTCGTGGCTGTTCTAAAGAAAACAATCAATAACTGTGGAGAAAAAAAGTCAGTTTTAATGAATACTTAAAAGTACTGTAAATTCAATTTGTACTCGAACTTTTTATTGATTTCGATCAGCCCTTCAAAAATGCAAAAGCATAGTGAGGACGGCCAGCCACTGGAGAACATTACAATATTAGCGCAGCAAAGGCATCCGATTTTGTGTGCAACGTTTGTGTGGGATGTCGTACCACAAAGCCCATCCGTGTTTCGCGTTTTCATAAACGCGAAGATTACAGCTCATTTCAGACATTATACATGACTACATATGATTACATGACCAAGGGTCATTTCCTTCTCCAAAAACATCACCGTTTCTATTGTCACAGCTTCACATAATCAAGGCCTGGAGGATGATTTGGTTATTTCAAAATTACGGATCTAAAAAAAAAACAAAAAAACTACATTACCCACAATCCTCTCCCATTCTCAGCCAGAATTACCCAATTTAAGAAGTCGAAATGACAATCATTTTGGAGGCGTACCTGAATTTCAGAAGAGAAACACTAGCTCTGAAAGCACACGATTTTAGGCAGAAATAAGTACGCGTATGTTTTTAAGCAAATATACATCGTAACACCACAGCACAATGCAACATGGGTTCACATGCCCAGATAAATATAAGCTGGAAATCACATTCAAGAGGATCAGCTTTCATGCATCATCATGACAAAAGCTGAAAATCCGCACCCGTTCCCCTCGAGTCGTTGAAATTATCTATTTGGCGAGAACTGAAACAATCTAGAACCTGTGAACGTGTAGTTAAGAGAGACTTGTTGGAGAAACACATGCAAATACAGAAAACGAAGAGCTTTAGAAAAGTCGACAACCTGAGAAACGAATAAACCGGCTTGAATCGTCAAAGCGGACCGACGCGACAAACTAACGAAAGCTTTACCATTTCCACCTGGAAGACAACTTCTGTAAATGCAAAAGCGCGACTGCGGTGCAACGTAAGAGGAGTTCTGCAGGTACGGGCTATAACAGTGGAGGCCGTGAGCGCTTGATTCTTTATTTTTTTCGTAGCAAGTCCGTACGGTGTTGTTTCTTGTTTCTGCACTTGTGCTTGACACGGTGAGAGAGGTAGATCTGTGGTTTCACGGAAGCCTTGCGACGAGTCAGACTGGCAATGTAGTGTTGACGTAAGACTGAATGAATTCGGTGAGCGCTGTTTCCGGTCCGCCAACAAACGAGGGGCAAGTTCAAGCCTGGAGACCACTGAGGCACATCAGTGTTAAAGATCACAGGAAATATGGCTCTTGAGCCAACCACGATTGGTTTGGAGAAAAAACACGGATGGGTACTGACTAGATAAGGCTTTGCGAGGGAGATGCGATGGACTTTCATGAGCTCATATGTTCTATTGCTTCTCGTGGTGCTTTGAGGCACTTTGGTTGTGTTTGAGGCAATTCACCGGCGTAGGTGAATTCAGATTGTTTGTAAATGACATAGAGGTTAAAACCACACTGGGATGGATCCTCTCAACCTCTTTTTGAGAGCACGTCCATCCAGAGCACAAAGGAAACGACTCGGGAGTCGCTATATTCTGGGAAGAGAATACGCCTAATCTACATGTCTTTATTGCGGATGATTCTCAGTCTGTGTGGTTGTTCACGAAATTGGTCTTTTTGGCGTCCGCTTTGCTCCCTCTTAGCTTGCCGGTAATGACTTTGTAGCAGCCGCGGGCGATTTTGTACATCCATATTGTGTTCAGGATATCCAAACAAATGCAGGATAAGATCCAAGCCACCTGAGCGCTGAGACCGAGCCTTTCAAACGCTGGCGTGCCGAACGTGCCGAACACCTTGGCCCAGTAGGGCGGCATCACGGCAATCCGCACCAGGAAGAACACGACCGCCATGGCGATGCCGTTGATGACGACCAGCTGGTCGGTACGAGGGTAGGCCAACGCTTCGAAAAACCACCTGCGGAGGGACGAATAGAGGTCAACTGAGAAGTTTGTGGTTATGAGTAAATCTTTCCCAATGAGTAAACAAATCTCACCTTTGATTCACAAATGGCGTTGACAATTCTGAAATCAGTCGGAAGTTAGCGAAATAAGGAAGCACTCCACGGTTCTGCAGATCAAACAGGCAATTACTTAAATACCTCTGCAATGAGTAACAAGTTTTCATTTTCTGAATTTAAATTGAATTTTTTTTTTAAACATTTATTATTATTATCACGACCAGTAGTATTACAATTGTATTATTAGTGCGGTCAAATCGATTAATCGCAAATTATATTCAATAAATTGTAAATATATAATGTGTGTGTATATACAGATATACACACACATTATACACACTATACAAAATAATTAAGCTTTTATGATAAATAGTTGGTTAGACATTCTATTTGGTCGAAATAAAAATCAAACTAAAAAATTCAAATGGAAAACGGAATTTTGGGAAGAAATAAAATGGAATTTGGAAAATAAAGTCAAATCTCTTAATCGCAATTAATCAAATCTAACATTCAAAGTTTGTGTGTGTGTGTGTGTGTGTGTTTTATTTATTTATATATATATATATATATATATATAACACACACACAATATATATAAATATATATAAATAAAACACACACACAATATATATATATATATATATATATATATATATATAAATATAAATATATATATATATATATATATATATATATAAAATGCATGTAACGCAGTCACTCCTACTAGCCACTTTGCTGGGTTGTGTTTTATTTACATTTTTCAATTGAAATCTATTAAAAATGCATCTTAAATACTAAACTAAGTACAATGTAGTGTTGTCAGAAATATAGTTCTTTTTTTTATACATATCAATATAGTTTCATTTGCTCTGGATGAATATTGTTGCTGTTTCAGGGCTTGAATTTCAGCATTGAGCATAACTTACTCACAGGTTATGCGCTCATACCCAAAGTGCGGCACATAAAGCCTCCTCTAAGCACTAAATTGAGTTATTTTTCCCTGCTTATTGCATTTAAACAGTCAAATACACACAAAATAATATCAAAATGTTGGTTTTGGCAAGTATTCATGAAACACAGTCAGTTTTATTTTAATTGAACATAAACAGGTGAGAAAGAAAATGCATGCGTATCAGATAATGGATCTGTGGGGCGGTTCTTAAAGTGACAGGAGCCTAATATACCTGCTGCCAAATTATGAGTCTCAGAGTATCTAAATGGCAGTTTTTACCTATGGCATTAATGTTAAAATTGTGGCCAGTGAAAATGCTGAGTGGCTAGTAACTAGCACATCCGTAAATATATACACAGTCTAATCAAAGTCAGGGTGATGTACCTCAAATGCCATTTTGCTGTCAACTAACTAACTAACTGACTGACTAACTAACTAACTAGACTGTGTACCAAGCCTAGTAAGTTTCTTTAAAACTGTCAAATGAGCTAAAAAAAAAATATATATATATAAAACTTTAAATAATATAAAGAACAGTGTCCACAATTTCAAGGGCCTTTCATGTTGTGCTCTGTATTACCAGGTACTTACCAGCACATATCCATAAGCATACAGCGCCGCCAAGTGGTGACAGACAAAAAACGCGTCACCCATGGTACTCCAATTACAAGCTAGAAGCACCAGGTCTGAGAGAAGAGAAGAGTAGAGGACGGAAGAGAAAACAAGAGAGTAAAAAAAAAATGTAGACAAACCTGAAAAGATCTGAAATGTGACATCTGTGCGTGAACTTCCATAATAAATCAACGATTCATACCATAGAACAGGTAACCACAGGTGATGGCCACATTGAGCTTAACCAGGTTAGGATCACCCCTGAAGAAGCAGAAAAAGATACAGCTCAAACAAAAGGCAAAGACAACAGAATATATAATGCAGTCACCCAGCAATGGAGATGTTGTACTGTGTTTGGACTTAAAAAGCGTAACATTATTTCTGAAAGGTGTAATCCCTAAAAGCGTCACCACCCAGTAAACCTGCAGATGGAAACCTTAGCCAACAACAAAGCATGAGGGAGTGGTGCTGTTTTTGACTGAAGCCATTTATTACTGTACTATCACTGGTAACATGCCTCCGTCAACACTGCAACTGTACATGTTCCTCTGTAAAATCAAAATCCAATGAAACCATACTTAATGGAAGTGACCTGAGTGAACATCTGAGATGATAGCGATCTACAACGTTTGCGTGAAAAACATCATTCAAGCATTCAAGAACGCTTTTTTCACGGACACAGATATCTGGTAATAGTATAATATACAATAAAAAAGAAATATTTCTTATTTGAAACAAATGTGTGCAGTGACTTTTTGAACTGTCTGATCTCAGATCAGTTTCATGCATTTGGAAAAATTCAGAAATAGATTAGGGCTCATTTTTTTCCCTGTCAAATTGATTAAATCGCATCTAACATAATAAATTGATTAATCAATCAAAAATCGATATATAAATATATATATATATATATATATATATATACACGCACACAAACTTTGAATGTTAGATTTGATTAATCACGATTAAGAGATTTGACTGCAGCACTGTACTCATTTTTTTTTTCCAAATTCCATTTTATTTCTTCCAAAAATCTGTATTGCATTTGAATTTTTTAGTTTGATTTTTATTTATACCAAATAGAATGTCTAACCAACTATTTATAATAATAATAAAAAAAATCTGGTTTGTTTTTTTATGATTTAATAAAAATCTTTTATCAAGAACGTTTTTTATTAAAAAATTAATGCAAAGAACTTGCATGACTGAATTAATCTTTTAAAATTTAATCAAATGAAATTCAAACAATTCCTTTATTTTTTTGGTTTGCTGTTTAAACTAAATCATGGATGAGAAATAAATTGTGTGATATTTTAATATTATTGTGTTATTACTTTGAGAGGAACATTCTACTGTATAATGGCAATATATTTCTGTCATAATTATTAATAATAGCAATATGGACTAGTGTCTATGACTATTAATATTAATTGTACAGCCCTACTTTTATGTTATTCCTCCAAATTCCAGTAAATTCAACAGTAAATTCCATTTTTATGACTGAATTCCATGATTATGTCCATATTTTCAGCAGTGCAGAAATCATACAGCCCGCCCCGAATAGATCAACATATGATCTGAGGGCCAAGAGCATAACTAATAAAAACGCTTTGTTTAGAGAAATTGCACACAAAGCCACATAAACGCAAACTTACACAAACAACCATTCCATTAGCTCAAACATTGCAGCTTAGGTTGGTTAAAAAAAGTTTGTTTTCATGAAAATTCATTCGAGTGAGGTCGATAGGGTCATCTGAAAGTTACAAGGGAGAGAATATGAACTAAACAAAACCATGCGCTTGCCATATGGAAGATGAATATCTTGGTGAATGAATAACAAGCCAGCGTTACAGTACATGTGTGCCTGAGATCCGCGTCTGTAAAGCGATCAGGGAACCGATACACAGCGATCGCAGGTGTCCAGTAGCAGAGGACATGTGTGTGTGAAACCTGATCTGCTAGCAGACTCTCATGCACAGTAAGCTCGGTGTACTCCGCTGACCTCTGACCCCTCTGTCTAACACCTGAACTCTCACTCTCCGTCCAGCACGGCACAGCTGACGCCTCCATGCAGGATTTCACACTTAATCTTAAGTGTGCAAGTGGTTCTGAAGCACTGTAGATGGCATACTTAAAGGTGCTGTATGTAAGATTTTGGACTCTACTAAAACATTTGCAGAGATTTAGGAAACAGGCTAAGTTTTTATATTTGTTTCTCTGAAAAACAATGATACAGCCTGTTATTCTATTTTGAAATGTGCGTTCCGTGTTGGAACGTCCAATGTTCCGTGTTTTGCTTTGGTCTGTGAGAATCCGGCCACTGCCAATTTACTAAGGTTGGACCCGAATATCCGAATATTCGAATATTCGTTCGGTGGGTTGGTATTCGATTTAAAACTAAAAACTTTGTTATAGCTACTTAATAAATACATTTGCTTCTTCTTGGACTACTAAAAGTGTTCCTGCAACGGGAGTACTCTCCGGCTAGAGCGCAGTCATAGAGTTTGTATGGACAGAAGTGCATACCTGAGCTTGTATTTTGGGTCAAGCTGCGTTGCTTTGACATTGTGGAAAAATACAAACAAACAAAATGTATTATCCAATTCACCCGTTATTATCAATCTAAATTAATCTACTGCAAAATATAGGAGACTTTGGGATTTTACTGGGATGTCGCAATTTCGTTTTCTATTTAAATTTTGTTTTTCTATATTTAAATTTAGTTTTTATTTATTTAAATTTAGTTTTTTTAGGGCTGTCAAACGATTAATCGCGATTAATCGCATCCAAAATAAAAGTTTGTGTTTACATAATATCTGTGTATAATTAATTTTTTATATATAAATACACACGCATGCTTGTATATATTTAAGACATATTTTCATACTGTATATAGATTTATATATGATTTATATTATATATAAATATTTTTTTCTTAAATATACATTAATGTGTGTGTTTTTATATATATACAAAATAATTATACACCGTGCACCCACATATATTATGTAAACACAAACTTTTATTTTGGATGCGATTAATCGCGATTAATCGTTTGACAGCCCTACTTTTTTTGTAAATTTCATTTTTATTTATTTAAATCTACCCTACTTTGTCAGTGAGAAAAATATTATGAGACTATACCTTATTAAAAATATTCCTTCAGTTAAAAAAAGACCTGTATGTGTGTGTGTTTCATATAACTAGTGCAGTGTCTGTTCTCAGAGCATATAATCCCTGCTCGCGAAAGGCGCGCACGCCGCTTCTTTATTTAAATCTACCCGTTAGTTATTTGTTAGTGAGAAAAATATTAGACTACCTTAAAAATATTGCTTAAGTTAACAGACCTGTGTGGTCTGAACGGTTCTCGAAATAATCAAAATGCAAACGGACAGACAGACATAGGCCATCGAGATTCCGAAGCTTCGAATATTCGATGTTCATTACTACCGAAGCTTCAAAGCTCAAAAAATGGTATTCGGAACAGCCCTACAATTTACCCAATAGTATTTCAACACCCCGGGTTGCAAGTTTGTGGAAGACACAGCAAATTTCAGACATAGAAGTGAGCGAACAAACTGGGTAATAGATCGCAGATTTTACTTTTACTTTATTTTTTTTTAAAAAGCACTATGATCAGACAAACGCATTTTAAAACGCGGATAAATCAACTTATCAACAGGTTAAGGCTCGCCACCTTCCATTTTCAATCGTGCTTGTTCCTGTTGCGTGTCCTCAATCTGGCAACCCTAAGTTCATGGAGTCTGAGGATGAGGAGTGGGGGAAACTACTCTCTCTAATATTGTGAATTTGGACTGTAGTTCCCATTTCAACCACTCACTGTCTATATTACACACTGCACATTTAAGTACATAACTTTGATCCTAGTTTGGCGGGAAAACTAAAAAGAACCCAGAATTAATTTCTTTCAACGATTACTTAATATATTATAAAGAAAATAATTAAAAAATTCTGTGAATAATATATAATTATAAATGTATCCTCTTATCTAATCTACTTCTTTATGTACTTTGATGGTTTGACCGTGGTACATGTCATTGTGACATTAACCTAAAACCTACTTGATAATCAGGTTTTGTTTTTTATTACCCGAGTACAGATAACTGATAGGTTTCGGGGGGAAAATAGGCAAAAGTTAATTTATATAGATTTAGCTTTTAGATAGACATACCTAAGCAAGTTTATATAACTGTGTTCACTCAACTTTGGGGAACCGAATCAGACAACAGACCCAACAGACTTACAGTATAGACTAATCTAATAAAACACATTTAAGTGTAAGGCTTGAGTCAAGCTGGATGGCAATGCATGTAGCCGTTAGCATAAAACACAAATAGACCAGCTTGAGCGGTTGAAAAGGGTCTGTGGAGCTTAAGTCTTCACGCAAGACGGTGAGTAAACAGGCAAAATTGTTTTGTTATTTTAGCAAACAAAAGCCCAGTCACTGAAACAACGGACTTTCTGTTGGGTCATTCGACAAAACAAGTGCCTTTTATTATCATGCGTGTAGATTCAAAATGTGCATAATGGCTAATATAGTTGAAAACAGCCAAAAAACGGATTAATATTTCTTCTTCATGCTACATACATTTGAAAAATTCATGTCCTGGTTCAAATGAATTGACAAATCCTATATTTGACACAATATAAAAGGTTGTTGTGCTCGCAATATTAGCATTAAACGTACATTCCAAAATCCACAAAATCCAAGTAAAACTGTCAAACTGCCAACCCTGTTACCATCAGCTGTAAACTGTATTAGTTATACAGTAGCCGACGTATTAATATTGATCATGTAGCTTGAGATGCACAATGCAATTTACCTACACTTGAAACTGGATATTATCAAGCCAAGTGGTGCCTGCTCAGACGGGTCACACAAAAAACCCAGAAACCTTTCCTTCATGATCCCACGACAACAAGTGAAGACTCAAAAACTAACAAATCAGAAAGCAAAGCAGACAAAAGAGGTGACATCATCCAGAATAAAATCACATGATCACTTAATTTTTGGTAAAAAGAAATTTACTTTAAAAAAAAGATCAATCGAAAAGGTATTTGTATTTGACATACTGTAGCTATGCTTACATCTAATAATATTTAAGCAGATTTTGGGTTATCAAATAATAATAATAATAATAATAATAATAATAATAATAATAAAACACTGGATAGAAATGCCAAGCATGCATAAATTCTAAAAATGCACATACAAATCTTATGCTCTCAATTGAGGCAGA